CAAGTTCTGTTGGTATTTCAGGAATTTGTGAGATCATTGTTTGTAAAATATGTTTTGAGCTGAACAAGTATATTTGTGTAAGACTGCTGTCCCTCAATTCCTTGAAGTCTCTTCTGATCTACAATTTAACAGATAGAAACAATAGCGGTTGCCACTAACCAATGAATTAACAGTTTTTATGTTCACTCATGGTTCAGCATATTAAACAAAGGAGGGCACACATTCAATAACAAAACCCCTTGCTTTGCTCGACTGAATTCCATCACTCTTGCTGCCCATAAAATCCCTATTCCCTCCCAAAATTCGGTAGTCGATTATACAATCAGTTATAAAACAAAATCCACTCAAATTGATAGAATCAGCTATTATCCAGAAATCAATCAAGGCATCTTTTAAATTTTAAATAGATCAATATTATACCTGGTTTATAAGTTCACATTTAATTTAAAGTAAATTAAAATCTAATTACTATTAGTTACTATAAATTAAAATATGATTATAATATTACAATACAGTAAAATATATTATAAAGGAGTATAAACTCACTTGCTAGAGTTGCCAGGGGTAGAGGGACGCTCCGCAGGGACCATAGAACGTCATGTCACATACCTACCCTGTTAAATAAAACACTTAATTATTCGCAGTGATAAGAATATATCGTTAAGATTTGCGGACTTAGGACTCCAAAACGCAGGAACTTGCGTTGTAAGCATTGAATTTGTAACGTGTGGACAAAGAAGAGTTGAAAGGCTTTAGGAATTTCAATCACAATTCCACATTCCACCAGCCCCTCGTCCTTCTCCAATAAATAAGGTAATGATACAATGACAGAAGTGCCACGGTGAATAGACCAACTCCTTTTTGTTATTTATGTTGAATATAAAGGGAGAAAGACTACAAAGTGGTCACAAACGCAGTGTGATATGACAAGTGTGATATGACAAGTGTGATATGACAAGTTATGATATGGCAAGTGTGATATGACAAGTTATGATATGACAAGTTATGATATGACAAGTTGTGATATGACAAGTGTGATATGACAAGTGTGATATGACAAGTTATGATATGACAAGTGTGACATGACAAGTGTGATATGACAAGTGTGATATGACAAGTGTGACATGACAAGTGTGACATGACAAGTGTGATATGACAAGTGTGATATGACAAGTTATGATATGACAAGTTATGATATGACAAGTTATGATATGACAAGTTATGATATGACAAGTTATGATATGACAAGTTATGATATGACAAGTGTGACATGACAAGTTATGATATGACAAGTGTGACATGACAAGTGTGATATGACAAGTGTGATATGACAAGTGTGATATGACAAGTTATGATATGACAAGTTATGATATGACAAGTGTGATATGACAAGTTATGATATGACAAGTTATGATATGACAAGTTATGATATGACAAGTGTGATATGACAAGTTATGATTGTCATTATGGTGTAATCTAAGATAACAGTGAATTCACAAACTATGTGCAAATGTGGTTGCAGATGATGAAACTATGGTCACTAACGTTCCCACTTGCCCTTTTGGAGTGTTACAATTATTATACCAAGGATTCTGAACAACACAACGGTGATGAAGAAGAGAGAGTGATTCGAGCGGAAATATTTAACAAGTTCTTGTAAACCAAAACCAATAAATTTTCCAAACACAGTACTACCCTTAATTCACAAACACGGCCTAAATAGCATCCTAGCTCCTTCATAAATTCTCTGAATGTCACACCATTCCAAGATCGTACGACACAAAACGTAAGACTTTCTGTAACGCATCCAACTACAGTGTGTCTCCCCCCCCCCCACCACTCAATCAGCACTTTGGGCTCAATCAGCACTCCGGCAGCTGTAGCAGAAAAATTTAACGATTACTTCTCAAACATCGCTCCAAAAATTAAGTCTGAAATTAGTAGTAGGACCACTTTTGATCCTGGTGGAACCCAGAGCACACTTCGCAACGCCACTCCAAGTAGTATTTACTTAAAGCCAGTTACTGCCACTGAAATTGAGGACGTCATAAACCTGCTTAAGAATAAAGCCACACTAGACACTAAAATTGAACCTCTAAAAATCGCTAACAGTTGTCCCAGTTTTACTAGTGTACTAGCCCACGTTGTCAACAGTTCTTTTGAACAGGGGATCTTTCCACAGGCTTTGAAAGAAGCGAAGGTGGTCCCAATTCACAAAGGTGGATCTAAATCTGACATAAAAAATTACAGACCAATATCTCTTCTTGCTTCATTCTCTAAAGTATTTGAAAAGCTAATGCATAACCGAGTTTTAAGTTTTTTAGATAAATACAGCATACTATGTGAAAACCAATACGGTTTTCGCCCGGGTAGGTCTTGTGAACATGCTCTTCTCAACGCAAAAGACACCATTCTTAATTCAATGTCTAAAAAGCAGGTAACTTTACTTCTTTTAATCGACTTCAGCAAAGCTTTCGACCTTGTGGATCATTCCATACTCTTGCGCAAGCTGGACCATTACGGCATAAGAGGTCAAGCCTTAAACTGGTTCAAGTCATATCTCACTAACAGGAAACAGTTTGTATCAATTGGCTCGTCAAAATCTTCAACCAACCAAATTTTATACGGCGTGCCTCAAGGGTCAATATTAGGACCTTTACTCTTTATAATCTACATAAACGACCTGCCTCAAATATCAGATATAGCCAATTTCATTATGTACGCAGATGATGCCAACATCTTCCTGATAGGAGAAAATCTTAATGAAGTTTACGATAAACTAATAACTCTTAGCGATGCTTTAGTTAAGTGGGTAGATAATAATGGTTTAGCTCTCAACCTTAAGAAAACAAATTATATGATCTTCTCTCGACAAAGGAATCTTAATTATCGTGATGTGACAATTTCTGGTGTCACAATTGAGAGAAAAACAGAAGCCTGTTTTTTAGGAGTTATAATAGATGATAAACTAAACTGGTCCTATCATATCTCTGCCATGAAAATGAAAATGTCCAGATACATAGGAGTCATGTACAAACTTAAAAAATATCTGCCTCTCGAAGCACGTCTTCAAATTTATCAAAGTTTTGTGCAGTCACACCTTAATTATTGCAGCCTTGTATGGGGTTTTGCTGCTAAGTCTCATATTGAATCACTTTTTGTAAAACAGAAAATGGGCCTTCGTGCAGTATTACCTGGTTTCGTCAATTACTGGTACAAGGACGGTATCCCCCCAGCAAGTACTAAGTCTGGCTTTTATTTACATAAAATATTGACAGTACACAGTATCATTGTAAAGAACGCACTCATTTTAATGCATAAATTGAAAAACTTTCCTAATCTAGTACCATTGTCTCTCAAGAAAACAATTCCCAAAAGCGCACCATTATTTAATACTAACACGGATTCTATTCTCACTACACAATGGTCAGAAAATTATGGTCAACACCCCTACAACAACTCAGTATTTTTTAAAGGTCCATTATTAGCAATAAACCGATATAATGTTGCAGCAACTTCCCCGCCTAGTCTATTTAACCTGAACATTTACAAAACTTGTATAAAAACTATGCTCATCGATCAGCAAAATGAAAACATCGAAGACGAATGGCCTAATTTCATGTTATTTTGTATAACAGGACTAAGAAAATCAAAGCGTAACATAAACCAAAATGCCGATAATAACCTTGTCTCTACATCTTAGATTATATGCACACACTTATGCATCACTCAATAAACGTCGCATATCTCATCATTTACACTGCCAACATTGGACATTCTTTTTTATCGCCGCGTATTTCAAATCAAGTTACAAATTCTACAAATTTTGAAGTGCTCAGTCTTGTTTTACTGTTTTTAATCTTTACCTATTAACCATTAGAAAATTAAACTTTAAGTTATAAACCTTCATTGCATACTTTACCGGTAGAGTCTAAATTGAATAGTTTGAGATTTCCTTAACATTTTGTATTTATGCATGTGCCCCACGGGGATGATTTTCTTATTACCATTGATATTATATATATTTTTTGAGTAAACATTGGCTGGTACCACGGGCCAGTCCCCAACAAAACAAAAACCACCACATACTGCAACCGTTAATGCAAACGCCGCATTACAGGTCACACCGGAGTCAAGGTGTGTGAAAAGTAACGGTTATCTTTAAAGAGTTTAGACTTTATTAACTGAATCTACAGCAGATCTACAGCAGATCTACAGCAGATCTACAGCAGATCTACAGCAGCTCTACAGCAGATCTACAGCAGATCTACAGCAGATCTACAGTACATCTACAGTGTACAGAAACAACAACAGCTTATTAAACGCAGCACTAGACTACACGAACAAATTAAACAAAAGAAGACGAGACAGAGAGGACAGTGTCTCATGCGAAATTTTTTAAACAGAATCTGAAACTAGACGAGAAACAGAGACGGAAACAGACGAGAAACAGAGACAGTGTTCATAGAAGAGAGAAACAGAGACAGTTTTCATAGAAGAGAGAAACAGAGACAGTTTTCAGAGAAGAGAGAAATAGAGACAGTATTCGGAGAAGTGAGAAATAGAGACAGTATTCGGAGAAGAGAAAAATAGAGACAGTATTCGGAGAAGAGAAAAAGTTCCCGCGCTTTATCAGTTAATAACAGTGGAGGTGTTTATCAGTTTATTGGACTGACGATCCCGAGAAAATAGATTAGTAAGAGCAATGTTTTGTGCGCTCATTAGCTTAGTAAAGATGTGGTAACTGATCCAGTCAGTCTAAAACTCTTTTAACGTGTCTTTTCACATCGGATAGTGGAAATGAGAGCTGCTGTTTTATACGTGGTGGACTAATGGTCGTTTTACAGCTGGTGGATGTATTACTTCTTTATTGTTAGTAATGATATGATAAAATATGATGCATTACAAAATACAAATCAAGATGTAATGATTCTATCTAATATTATATTATTACCTTATGCTGTATATTGTATAATGCAATGATATTTTAGAAAGGTATTGAAAATAAAATCATATTCATCATACAAACAATACAAAATTCAAAAATTACATAAAAACATAAAATCAAACGCAAAGTCCCATGGGTGTTATGACAGAATAAGCCAAATGTGCAGCTCTGACGTACTTATAGGTGCACATTTGTAAATCTGTTATCAACATTACCTTAAATGGTAGTGTTACTATGGAAACACTACCATATAATGTAATGTTTGATAGGGGAGCACATTATAGTAAAACTGTTATAAAACGGTATAAAATATTGATTCGGATCATTAAATCTACTAATTCAAATTGCTGCGCGAAAAATTTGTAAACACGCTTAAAGTATTCTCAAGTTAATAAAAGTGTAAAAAGTCAACAATACATTAATCTCGTATAAATCTCTTTCGTATTTTGTATAAAATATTTCAACACATACCACATGAGTAAATGGCACCAAAATTCATAAAATCACTCTATAAAAGTATAAAATACAAATCACTCTAAATATAAATCATGGGAAGTGTGTGATGACGTCACGTGGTATGATGACGTCACGTGGTATGATGACGTCACGTGGTATGATGACGTCACGTGGTATGATGACGTCACGTGGTATGATGACGTCACGTGGTATGATGACGTCACGTGGTATGATGACGTCACGTGGTATGATGACGTCACGTGGTATGATGACGTCACGTGGTATGATGACGTCACGTGGTATGATGACGTCACGTGGTATGATGACGTCACGTGGTATGATGACGTCACGTGGTATGATGACGTCACGTGGTATGATGACGTCACGTGGTATGATGACGTCACGTGGTGTGATGACGTCACGTGGTGTGATGACGTCACGTGGTGTGATGACGTCACGTGGTGTGATGACGTCACGTGGTATGATGACGTCACGTGGTATGATGACGTCACGTGGTATGATGACGTCACGAGGTGTGGTGACGTCACGTCACGTGACTAAGCACCCAGTTTTTTGACGGGTAACTCGTCGTCCCTGAGCTGACACAGTGTCCTAATAAGCTTGTCTCTGTTCTGATAAGAGATGGTGTGAAGGGTTGCTGTTTTGCCCAGCTTCTCCACTGCTTCTATTAGGTAGAACTCTTGGTCGGGTCCACTGAGGTAATAGTATGATAACCAGGTTATTATTAGATAATCATGTAGCTCACAGGGAGCTACATGTGCCTGGTAGCTCAATGCTTTAATTTATTTAAACGTTATTTAAATTAGCATTATATTTAATTCGGGCAAACCATTCACTAGTGCTGGAATTCCCAAACATTTTCAAAATGTTTTCTATAATTTAAAATTTTTTGAAATGTTTTTAACGACGTAAACGGCTCTAAATAGAAGGTATAAATTTAACTAGCAGGTAAAACATGTGTGAGATGTAATGTTAGAGCAGCTGTGAGATGTCTGTAGAAACACCTCAGCTGTGTGTTACTATGGTAACTAGTAGTGTTACTATGGTAACTAGTAGTGTTACTATGGTAACTAGTAGTGTTACTATGGTAACTCAGCTGTGTGCGGTCTGTAGACACACAGCAGCAGGTGGAAACGTTAGTAAGTTTGATAAGTTGTTTACAGTGATGGGAATTACCTACTCTACCTATACCGGCAATTGTAGATATTTTACTATATGTAACTGTTATTGTAGATTTAAAATGTGAGTTCCCAACTTTAAAAAATTATAAATTTGATATTTAAAAGAATCAAACAAATGAGACTAAATTAAACCTGCTAGTAGGTAACTATGGTAACCTGCTAGTGGGTGGTCTAAACAAATGAGACTAAATTAAACCTGCTAGTGGGTGGTCTAAACAAATGAGACTAAATTAAACCTGCTAGTAGGTAACTATGGTAACCTGCTAGTGGGTAACTATGGTGACCTGCTAGTGGGTAACTATGGTAACCTGCTAGTGGGTAACTATGGTAACCTGCTAGTGGGTAACTATGGTAACCTGCTAGTGGGTAACTATGGTAACCTGCTAGTGGGTGGTCGGTTGTGGAAATCAGCGTTCTCGTACAGAACTACAATATCACAACTAGTAACATGCGAGTAATGTACACACATCACATCCTCCAATGGGATAGCCTCTATCAATCTGAACTGTACTGAGTTGGGCATGCTGAAATGTTGTGGTATTAAATTCTAGGTATTGCAGAGCCACACAAAACTAACTAACCAAACTAATAATATATTGTTTATTATTTTAACTTTAAATGTTTCAACTTGATCCAGTAATATAATATAATAGTCCAGTTCAGACATTATAATGTTTCAACTTGATCTAGTAATATAATATATATATACCAGTATATAAAGTAAAGTAAAGTAAGTAAGTATATAATAATATAATCCGATAAAACTAATAATAAAAGAAAGTACCTGATTTTGTTAGATTGAGGTAGCGGCCAGAACACGTTGTCTTCCTTTATAAGACACATAAACAGGTTAGTTAGTACCAGTGTAACCAACTGCTTGCTCTCACCCACTACCTGACACATAAACAGGTTAGTTAGTACCAGTGTAACCAACTGCTTGCTCTCACCCACTACCTGACACATAAACAGGTTAGTTAGTACCAGTGTAACCAACTGCTTGCTCTCACCCACTACCTGACACATAAACAGGTTAGTTAGTACCAGTGTAACCAACTGCTTGCTCTCACCCACTACCTGACACATAAACAGGTTAGTTAGTACCAGTGTAACCAGCTGCTTGCTCTCACCCACTACCTGACACATAAACAGGTTAGTTAGTACCAGTGTAACCAACTGCTTGCTCTCACCCACTACCTGACACATAAACAGGTTAGTTAGTACCAGTGTAACCAACTGCTTGCTCTCACCCACTACCTGACACATAAACAGGTTAGTTAGTACCAGTGTAACCAACTGCTTGCTCTCACCCACTACCTGACACATAAACAGGTTAGTTAGTACCAGTGTAACCAACTGCTTGCTCTCACCCACTACCTGACACATAAACAGGTTAGTTAGTACCAGTGTAACCAACTGATTGCTGTCACCCACCACCTGACACATAAACAGGTTAGTTAGTACCAGTGTAACCAGCTGCTTGCTCTCACCCACCACCTGACACATAAACAGGTTAGTTAGTACCAGTGTAACCAGCTGCTTGCTCTCACCCACTACCTGACACATAAACAGGTTAGTTAGTACCAGTGTAACCAGCTGCTTGCTCTCACCCACCACCTGACACATAAACAGGTTAGTTAGTACCAGTGTAACCAGCTGCTTGCTCTCACCCACCACCTGACACATAAACAGGTTAGTTAGTACCAGTGTAACCAGCTGCTTGCTCTCACCCACCACCTGACACATAAACAGGTTAGTTAGTACCAGTGTAACCAACTGCTTGCTCTCACCCACTACCTGACACATAAACAGGTTAGTTAGTACCAGTGTAACCAGCTGCTTGCTCTCACCCACCACCTGACACATAAACAGGTTAGTTAGTACCAGTGTTACCAGCTGCTTGCTCTCACCCACTACCTGACACATAAACAGGTTAGTTAGTACCAGTGTAACCAGCTGCTTGCTCTCACCCACCACCTGCACATAAACAGGTTAGTTAGTACCAGTGTAACCAACTGCTTGCTCTCACCCACTACCTGACACATAAACAGGTTAGTTAGTACCAGTGTAACCAGCTGCTTGCTCTCACCCACTACCTGACACATAAACAGGTTAGTTAGTACCAGTGTAACCAACTGCTTGCTCTCACCCACTACCTGACACATAAACAGGTTAGTTAGTACCAGTGTAACCAACTGCTTGCTCTCACCCACTACCTGACACATAAACAGGTTAGTTAGTACCAGTGTAACCAGCTGCTTGCTCTCACCCACTACCTGACACATAAACAGGTTAGTTAGTACCAGTGTAACCAGCTGCTTGCTGTCACCCACCACCTGACACATAAACAGGTTAGTTAGTACCAGTGTAACCAGCTGCTTGCTCTCACCCACCACCTGACACATAAACAGGTTAGTTAGTACCAGTGTAACCAGCTGCTTGCTGTCACCCACCACCTGACACATAAACAGGTTAGTTAGTACCAGTGTAACCAGCTGCTTGCTCTCACCCACTACCTGACACATAAACAGGTTAGTTAGTACCAGTGTAACCAGCTGCTTGCTCTCACCCACCACCTGACACATAAACAGGTTAGTTAGTACCAGTGTAACCAGCTGCTTGCTCTCACCCACCACCTGACACATAAACAGGTTAGTTAGTACCAGTGTAACCAGCTGCTTGCTCTCACCCACTACCTGACACATAAACAGGTTAGTTAGTACCAGTGTAACCAGCTGCTTGCTCTCACCCACTACCTGACACATAAACAGGTTAGTTAGTACCAGTGTAACCAGCTGCTTGCTCTCACCCACCACCTGACACATAAACAAGTTAGTTAGTACCAGTGTAACCAACTGCTTGCTCTCACCCACTACCTGACACATAAACAGGTTAGTTAGTACCAGTGTAACCAGCTGCTTGCTCTCACCCACTACCTGACACATAAACAGGTTAGTTAGTACCAGTGTAACCAGCTGCTTGCTCTCACCCACTACCTGCACATAAACAGGTTAGTTAGTACCAGTGTAACCAGCTGCTTGCTCTCACCCACTACCTGACACATAAACAGGTTAGTTAGTACCAGTGTAACCAGCTGCTTGCTCTCACCCACTACCTGACACATAAACAGGTTAGTTAGTACCAGTGTAACCAGCTGCTTGCTGTCACCCACTACCTGACACATAAACAGGTTAGTTAGTACCAGTGTAACCAGCTGCTTGCTGTCACCCACTACCTGACACATAAACAGGTTAGTTAGTACCAGTGTAACCAACTGCTTGCTCTCACCCACTACCTGACACATAAACAGGTTAGTTAGTACCAGTGTAACCAACTGCTTGCTGTCACCCACTACCTGACACATAAACAGGTTAGTTAGTACCAGTGTAACCAACTGCTTGCTCTCACCCACTACCTGACACATAAACAGGTTAGTTAGTACCAGTGTAACCAACTGCTTGCTCTCACCCACCACCTGACACATAAACAGGTTAGTTAGTACCAGTGTAACCAGCTGCTTGCTGTCACCCACTACCTGACACATAAACAGGTTAGTTAGTACCAGTGTAACCAGCTGCTTGCTCTCACCCACTACCTGACACATAAACAGGTTAGTTAGTACCAGTGTTACCAACTGCTTGCTCTCACCCACCACCTGACACATAAACAGGTTAGTTAGTACCAGTGTAACCAGCTGCTTGCTCTCACCCACTACCTGACACATAAACAGGTTAGTTAGTACCAGTGTAACCAGCTGCTTGCTCTCACCCACTACCTGACACATAAATAGGTTAGTTAGTACCAGTGTAACCAGCTGCTTGCTCTCACCCACTACCTGACACATAAACAGGTTAGTTAGTACCAGTGTAACCAGCTGCTTGCTGTCACCCACCACCTGACGTTGTGACAGTTTTGTTAATAGAGATAATTTCGTGTGTAACTATGGTAACCAGTAGTTTACTAATAATATGTGTAACTATATCATGGTCATTCCAGTAGATTGTGCAGAAAGTTGGAAATTTCAATTTTGGAAGCATATAGGGATAGAGATCTGATATCGATCGTAAATACTAAAAATACTCTAGCACAATTGTAACTGCAGTTTTACAGAACTCTAAATACTTAACTGCTTAATGAACACACTTGCAGGTACCACCCGTATTCACACTCAGAACTGAGCTTAGTAATTTTCCGATACGAGATTGGGGACGGGTTCTATAAACTTATAAACAAACAAACAAACACGTCTACAGCTCTGCTCATTTCTTATGACACTACTAATGAGAAATGAGGCGTACAATTAACATACAACATTCACTAAATAGTGTAAGAAAGGTTAAGAAAGGTACTAAGTACTAATGTAACAGTAGTTACAGTGCATAAGGGATAGTGAAAAATGTTTTGGAGTATGAACTGCCACATCATTCAATATTCATTCAATATTGATTCAAATAAATAATTTGACCCACAAATTATATGGTGTGTCTTCCGCTATGTAATAAACAAGGTATAAAACCTTATCTTATTACAAGACATAAAACAGGAAACATATTGTGGCGCATGATGATTAATTAATTACTCGTATAATTAATTAATAACACCCTATCTAAGTACCTGATAGAGTAAGGAGTAGGTTACTATGGTTACTGTTACTATGGTTACTAGTACCTGATAGAGTAAGGAGTAGGTTACTATGGTTACTGTTACTATGGTTACTAGTACCTGATAGAGTAAGGAGTAGGTTACTATGGTTACTGTTACTATGGCTACTAGTACCTGATAAAGTAAGGAGTAGGTTACTATGGTTACTGTTACTATGGTTACTAGTACCTGATAGAGTAAGGAGCAGGTTACTATGGTTACTGTTACTATGGTTACTAGTACCTGATAGAGTAAGGAGTAGGTTACTATGGTTACTGTTACTATGGTTACTAGTACCTGATAGAGTAAGGAGTAGGTTACTATGCTTACTGTTACTATGGTTACTAGTACCTGATAAAGTAAAGAGTAGGTTACTATGGTTACTGTTACTATGGTTACTAGTACCTGATAGAGTAAAGAGTAGGTTACTATGGTTACTGTTACTATGGTTACTAGTACCTGATAGAGTAAGGAGTAGGTTACTATGGTTACTGTTACTATGGTTACTAGTACCTGATAGAGTAAGGAGTAGGTTACTATGGTTACTGTTACTATGGTTACTAGTACCTGATAAAGTAAAGAGTAGGTTACTATGGTTACTGTTACTATGGTTACTAGTACCTGATAGAGTAAAGAGTAGGTTACTATGGTTACTGTTACTATGGTTACTAGTACCTGATAGAGTAAAGAGTAGGTTACTATGGTTACTGTTACTATGGTTACTAGTACCTGATAGAGTAAAGAGTAGGTTACTATGGTTACTGTTACTATGGTTACTAGTACCTGATAGAGTAACGAGTAGGTTACTATGGTTACTGTTACTATGGTTACTAGTACCTGATAGAGTAACGAGTAGGTTACTATGGTTACTGTTACTATGGTTACTAGTACCTGATAGAGTAACGAGTAGGTTACTATGGTAACTGTTACTATGGTTACTAGTACCTGATAAAGTAAGGAGTAGGTTACTATGGTTACTGTTACTATGGTTACTAGTACCTGATAGAGTAAAGAGTAGGTTACTATGGTTACTGTTACTATGGTTACTAGTACCTGATAAAGTAACGAGTAGGTTACTATGGTTACTGTTACTATGGTTACTAGTACCTGATAAAGTAAGGAGTAGGTTACTATGGTTACTGTTTCTATGGTTACTAGTACCTGATAAAGTAAGGAGTAGGTTACTATGGTTACTGTTACTATGGTTACTAGTACCTGATAGAGTAAGGAGTAGGTTACTATGGTTACTGTTTCTATGGTTACTAGTACCTGATAAAGTAAAGAGTAGGTTACTATGGTTACTGTTACTATGGTTACTAGTACCTGATAAAGTAAGGAGTAGGTTAGGATCTGAACCTCGTTGTAGTCGTGTATACCCGTGTGTTTCGCTATTGTGTATCTGAAGATTAAGATATTTCCAGTTAACAAAGCCCGGTGCTACATACCAAGTAGCGTGATTTCTTTGCTGTACATTATACACACAAAGTGAAACACAGTGAAACACAGTGAAACACAGTGATATACACAAAGTGAAACACAGTGATACACAGTGATACACAGTGAAACACAGTGATATACACAAAGTGAAACAAAGTGAAACACAGTGATAAACCAGGGTTGATTGCAGACAATTTGCCCACAACATTTCACAACATGTTTCGCTTTAATTAAATTAGACTGAAAGTTTAAATAATTAGTGTACGTGTCTAACGTGTATAACGTGTGATAAGAGCTCCTTCCTAGGAGGGGACTGATAACCTGACACCACATGTAACACAGGGCTAAGTAACCTAGCGTATCTTATAAAAGAGTAAAAATAGGTCATACGAAATTAGGTAATGAAATTTCTTTGAAATTGAATTAAAGCGTAGATGAAAGATTGCGCGAACACTGAATAATAACAATAAGAACACTGAATAATAACTCAATGTTATCCTGATAATCACACTAATAACCAACACACTACTACAAAATACACCAGTTACCTCAGCTCGTCTAGCCTATCCTCGTCCAGGTGGATAATGCTGAGTTCTCTTCCTTTCTTAGTGATCAGAACGTTATCACTCTCGTAACCGTCAGCTTGGCAGTGACAGTGCAGCGCTTCTATAACCTGGAATAAGTTAGTACAGACTTTAGCTTCTATAACCTGGAATAAGTTAGTACAGACTTTAGCTTCTATAACCTGGAATAAGTTAGTAAAATTAGTCTAGAACAGGACTATGGACTCTAGACTTTAGCTTCTATCACCTGGAGGCTGGAATAGTTAGTAAAATTAGAAATAGTAGGAAAACGGGTATGTAGACTGTGGAAGGATGGTGCTCCTTCGGTTCAGTCTTCCCATCTTTTTGCAAGATTTTTAAAAACAACATCTACCCAAGACTATTCTTTTCGTATCACTCTATCAATCATAAACTCGGAAAGATAAGACTCACAACTCTCTGGAGATCACGGGACAGCTGCACGTCCCTTGTCATGAAGGTCACCAGACCAACCTCGTTATAGCTGAACTCAAACCTGAGGGGGTTACTATGGTAACTGTTACTATGGTTACTAACCTGAGGGGGTCGGGGGTTGGATAAACAGCACACAATCTGGCAGATATTATCCACGACATACCTGATAAGTTGCTCCATAATTCCACAGACAATCTGGCAGATATCCACGACAGAGCGGGAGATAAGGAGACCGAGATGGTCTGACACTCTGTTATCAGTCTGCTCTATAGAGTCCAATTTAGCAGGAGTGGGAGGAGGCAGAGAGGTCAGGATGTGGAGGTTTTCTTGGGTTATTATCACGATACACTCGTGCTCCTAAGGGGGAAGTTAAGCTTAGAAAGGGATAGAAATTCGAGAAGCTTTTCCGCCGTTTTCCTTAACAAGAATGTTTCACCAGCAACCTGATAGGGACTACGGGTGGAAGATGAATAATTAAAATTCCACGTGACAGTCTAGTCGGTCCTATCACGTGACCGCTGATATTTTTTTCCCTACTCTTGCCTAAGGAAAAACGATCGTAGGGAATAAGTAGGGGGCCCCCTAAGTAATCGGGTTTGGATATATGAGGTGGCTCGACGGTCCTGCGGTGACGACAAAAGTCTGATCCTTCGCAATATAGACTATCTAAAAGTAATCATTAGTCGAAAATTGGGACAAATTTTCAACTGCATGAACGTTTCTTGGAAAATTATCCCCAGCTCTATGCTTCGGCAATGGTGCGTTTGTGGCTAAAGACATGGTTTTCAAAGACAATAATTACGGCAAAAAGGAGAGCAAATTGTCGATTACGATTTCTCAAGTCGAGGCTGGGAAAAGCGAGTAACCGATTTCATTCTCGGTATCATTTTGCATTTGAGAACGGCCAATCAAATTGATATCATTTCCTTTTGTTTGGGAAAAAGAGACACTGGCAGCGTAGTCTCTACAGCAACCAATCAATGATGCCAGTGTGAGTGACACAAGTCACGATCGAGGTACTGGAAGCTGAATGTCAGGAGAAATCTTTGACGAAGGGAAAAATATTAAAATACATATTGAAATGTCCTACTGACGGACATTTTCAAATTTCAACTTTCCGCTTTTCCGCTATTTTGACTAAATTTTTCCTCAATGACCAATAATTGGTCAGTTCAGGGGGGGGGGGGGGGGGCAGTTCACTGTGAATGGGAGTTTCCTCGCTTTTCAAGTGATTAGTAAAACTTACAAAGTCAGGAAAGTCGGAGGTAAGACAGTGAGTTTTAGTAAAACTTACAAAATCAGGAAAGTCGGAGGTAAGGCAGTGAGTTTTAGTAAAACTTACAAAGTCAGGAAAGTCGGAGGTAAGGCAGTGAGTTTTAGTAAAACTTACAAAATCAGGAAAGTCGGAGGTAAGGCAGTGAGTTTTAGTAAAACTTACAAAGTCAGGAAAGTCGGAGGTAAGGCAGTGAGTTTTGGTAAAACTTACAAAGTCAGGAAAGTCGGAGGTAAGGCAGTGAGTTTTAGTAAAACTTACAAAGTCAGGAAAGTCGGAGGTAAGGCAGTGAGTTTTAGTAAAACTTACAAAATCAGGAAAGTCGGAGGTAAGACAGTGAGTTTTAGTAAAACTTACAAAGTCAGGAAAGTCGGAGGTAAGGCAGTGAGTTTTAGTAAAACTTACAAAGTCAGGAAAGTCGGAGGTAAGGCAGTGAGTTTTAGTAAAACTTACAAAATCAGGAAAGTCGGAGGTAAGGCAGTGAGTTTTAGTAAAACTTACAAAGTCAGGAAAGTCGGAGGTAAGGCAGTGAGTTTTAGTAAAACTTACAAAATCAGGAAAGTCGGAGGTAAGGCAGTGAGTTTTAGTAAAACTTACAAAGTCAGGAAAGTCGGAGGTAAGGCAGTGAGTTTTAGTAAAACTTACAAAGTCAGGAAAGTCGGAGGTAAGGCAGTGAGTTTTAGTAAAACTTACAAAGTCAGGAAAGTCGGAGGTAAGGCAGTGAGTTTTAGTAAAACTTACAAAGTCAGGAAAGTCGGAGGTAAGACAGTGAGTTTTAGTAAAACTTACAAAGTCAGGAAAGTCGGAGGTAAGGCAGTGAGTTTTAGTAAAACTTACAAAGTCAGGAAAGTCGGAGGTAAGGCAGTGAGTTTTGGTAAAACTTACAAAGTCAGGAAAGTCGGAGGTAAGGCAGTGAGTTTTAGTAAAACTTACAAAGTCAGGAAAGTCGGAGGTAAGGCAGTGAGTTTTGGTAAAACTTACAAAGTCAGGAAAGTCGGAGGTAAGGCAGTGAGTTTTGGTAAAACTTACAAAGTCAGGAAAGTCGGAGGTAAGGCAGTGAGTTTTGGTAAAACTTACAAAGTCAGGAAAGTCGGAGGTAAGACAGTGAGTTTTGGTAAAACTTACAAAGTCAGGATAGTCGGAGGTAAGGCAGTGAGTTTTGGTAAAACTTACAAAGTCAGGAAAGTCGGAGGTAAGGCAGTGAGTTTTAGTAAAACTTACAAAGTCAGGAAAGTCGGAGGTAAGACAGTGAGTTTTAGTAAAACTTACAAAGTCAGGAAAGTCGGAGGTAAGGCAGTGAGTTTTGGTAAAACTTACAAAGTCAGGAAAGTTGGAGGTAAGACAGTGAGTTTTGGTCAGATACAGGATGTTGTAAGAGTCATTCAGTTCTTCTCCTATGAACCTCTGTATCTTCTCCTGTTGAGGTTCTTAATGATCAGCTGGTACGTGTTATAAAAAGGAAACAATAATTTTGTAAGTAAAGAAATTTGTAGATAAATCAGAGTACGGAGTCCTCGACTTCGGTTGCATGACGTACTCTATTTTGTTAAAAATAGTTTAAAACTATAAATTCTCCGTATCTTACCACAGGAATATTGAGGAAGTTGTCGACAGTAAACTCCGCAACATTCAGTGTAGCTTCCCTCCCCCCCGCCACCACTATTCTCCTCTTCAACCTCGTACCTCTTCATACTGCTCACAATTATCTCCTTCTTGTAGTACTGCTCCCAGGTCCGCTTGATATGCCCCACAATCTGCTCTCTGTTCTCATAGGAAGAGATAAACAGATCCACTCTCCCCCGCTCGAAGGTCTTCAGGTTCTTGTAGTACCCCATAGACAGCACGTAACTACCACGGTGGATCTCAGCAAAAAGGGTAATTCCCTGGATGAACCTGATCCGGATCTGCTGTACTACGCTGTATCGCGGTGTGAGAGGGGGGTGTCTTACGAAGCAAGGTGGAGGCCACCTAACAAAGTCCTCCTCCAACACATAGAGGAAGTTATCAGTCATCACTAGACACCGGAAGTAGCAAGTCTCCATGATCCGGACTGAAACGCAGTTTATTTTCTGGAGATCCTGAATTCTGAGCACTCTTTTGAGGAGCCTGATGTCAGTATCTTCCTCTGTAAAGATGATGTCAGAGGGGGGGATATTCTGGGTATCCAGTCTGCTGGCCAGAGTCTCCAGGAACATCTCAATGTCTTGTGAGTTGTACCCGATCAGGGAGATGGTTGTCTCCGGGCTCCCGTAAGGGTTACCGTCTTCCTTGAACTCAATCCTAACAGTGTGCTCGAAGTAGCTCATCAAGACCTGCCTTATACTCGACATCTTCTCGCGGTGTAATATTGAGAATGTGCACGATTCGTCCGTAAGGATTTGAGCTAGAATATCCTGGTTAAGATGTAACAAATCCTGGTTTTCTATCTTTATGACGAGAACTTCTGATTGAGTGATAGCTAGGACGACTGGTAGAGGCACATCAGCTTTGCAGTATCTGAAACAGTGGGATGGGAATGAGTAGAACTCTTCGTTCAGAGCATCCTCTACAGCAGCAACAACAATCCTATCACTCGCCAGTTTGTTGAGTTCTTCCGGTGGCTCTGGTTCTCGAATATCCTTCATCTTCGTAACCAGGAGATACAGATGTGCTGTATCATGGAGAAACAACTGTGAGTACACTCTCGGGGTCTCCTCATCAAACTTCTTGATAGAAATCTGATCTCCTATCAGATCACAGGACTCGATATCGACAGAATACAAGCTCCACGTCATCTTCCCTCCCCGGGGTTTAACCTCGACAAGGTGGGGCCTGTACGGTGAGGAGGGTAGAAGTGCCATTACATAGAGTTCATTGTCTCTGTAGACACTGAAGTTTGGTTGAAGTTCGTGGAAAGAGAGACTTGAGTATCTATTAACCAGATCTTCTATTTTCTCGTCTATGTTGTAGACCTCATTCGGAACAATATGGAAGGGCACGGAGGGTTGTCTAATGATCGCTTCATTACTTTTGGAATCCTTAGAGCCTTTGCTGCTTTCTGTTTCACACGATCCGGAGCTTTCAGCTGTGGGAGCTTCTGTCTTCTCCGGCATTTTCCTTTGCTTCTTCGGTGGAGTTGGCTCCAACGACTTTAATGTCTCCTCAGACATCTTTAATATTGTAGGAGGAGGAGTAGGAGGTCTCTCGAAGTGATCCTTATCAATATCATCCATAAAGTTGGCTAACCAGTTGTCCCCGTCGAACATAACCATCTTCTCCACCTCCACTATAGTGGGGGCTCTCTCGCGGAGCCAGCTATTCGTCAGAGTGTCATCATCAAAACTCTCATCCAGCTCGCTGATCGAGGCGAGAGAAGTAAGACATCGTTTATTGCTGGGTAGATGGGTTTCGTTGATGTTAAGTTCGGAGAATGTCACATATTGCTCGTCACATTCCTGGGACTCTTCTAGGAACGCCTTGTCGTACGACTCCTCTAATATCTCCACAACACAGATGGACTCCTCTAGTTTTACCTCCACCTCTTTTGTCTTCTCCAAAGTCTTCTTCAGTTTCTTCCTCTCTGCAGGAGTTGTCGGCTCTCTGTCCAGACGGAACGCTTCGTTCTCATAAAACACAGTGAGAACAGTTGGTCTGTAGGCTGACTTCTTGGAGATGGGGTTACCGAGTAGTGAGAGGTTTTCAAGTTGGGGGAGGTTTGATAGTCGGTTCACTTCGTTCAGTTGCTCGACACAGTTGTGACTCAAGTCGAGCTCCTCTAATGAGAACAGACGTTCAAATCCTGAGTAGGGAGATATCTTTACCTCTATAGCTATTTTACCATGTTCAGCACTAGATTTAACTGTGCTAATGATCGTATTTATATTTTAAAAACAATGAATAATAAAAAGGCCGCATGAAGGCGCACTACTATTGCTACTACTACTGCTGCTAACCGTAGAGAAGTTGTATTTTGTTGTGTGACAAGTTGAGGTTAGTGATGTTCCCCATCTTCATATGAAGAGCATCTGTGTCACTGATGTTGTTGTGGGACAGGTCTAACTCTCGTAGGTACGGTAACTGAGGGAGATAGTAGTGTTACTAATTTATGGAACGAAATCTACCAAATTTGGTGCGTATGCCCAAATATGGGCATATGGTTTTCGGCTCATAACTCAGTAATTTTTTGTCCAATCTTAATGAAATTTCATACACGAGTTCAGGAGACCACTAGCTACAAGTAGAGCACCATTAGCCTGGGTTTTGGGCTTGTTCAGGGTATTTGGCTGAATTGGGCCTAATTTGGACCAAATATTGGCGTGGCTGCCCTGCGCGCACCGTTTGGCGGTTGGGGTCCGGGACCCCCTCAAAAGTTCGGTCACTGGTCCTAGTTTGTTGGTCAACTACTATATCGAAATCAAGTTTCACAAAAAAATACCCATTGCCCCCCCCCCCCCCCCCCCCCCCCCCCCCCTTAAAATGTAATACTAATAATGTTACTACTAATAATGCTATGACACTACATTCAGGCCTCCATAAGTCTAGCCTCCATTATACCAGTCTACTGTTAATTTGAACCTCTGTCATTCTCAGACAGCTTAATTGTTCATTCTACGAAATGTAGCCAAGTTTAAAATTATATAACACTGTATAACACTGTATTCTTAATACGCGGCTACTATTTATTTATTTGATTAGTTCTGATGATTGTGTTACATAGCATTAGTTTAACTAAACTGTAGTTCAAGTACTAGCCTTCGTTATAACGGGTGATGAATAAAAAATGGGACTACATGTTTTTTAGCCCTCAGCTTCCACCTGAACAACATTTTGATATTTTACCACAACCACCAGTTACTCTGAACGATACTCGAACAGTCTCCGCCCCCATTTGATCAAATTGGTTGATCTTTGTCCCCGATAATGGTCTCGAACTAGGGGAGGGGTCCTATAAAAATTTTACAGTAAAGCACTGTTCACAGAAGTCGCCTCACAGGTAGTTCAAGCTTCCATACCAAAAACTTTTTAGCAGAGAGTATGCCTAAACTTCCCATCTATCACATCCTAAAGCGATTTTAGCAGCAGAGGTCGGTAGCCAGAGCTACAGAGACAAAAAGGCCATCCTGTATTATGGCACTTACGAAAATGACCCAGTAGGAACTGCTGGTGAGCCACATAACCGGCTCCCTGGTGATCCGTTTTGGCTGTACTCTCGGTTATATTTCCAGGGTAGTCACATGACTAAATGTTTGTTGTCTGAAAGGTGTCAAAGCCTTTATGATTAGAGATAAGACCCAAAAATGAGAAGTCGTGAGCAAATTCGAAAATATGTAGGGTTAATTTCGTCCAAAAAGTGATCGACCAAAGTAAATTTTGACAATCTCAACCCATAGAGGACTTCTTTAGAGTCCTGGCAACACATGTACATGCCCGAATATGGCTAGAAAGCCTACATGGGCCCTAGGGCACAAAAGAAGAGACTGCGCCAACACGATTTTAGGCCCAACTGTACAGACGGATTTTTGAGCTTGAAGAAAGAAGCCCTCCTGAACCAATCAAAATGGGCTCATGGGCGCTTGTCATAGACCACACTTGTTCAAAATTGCCCGCTTTACAACGCTGTTTCAAGGTTTCATTGGTTTGAACCAAAATAGTTTTATCGACACTAAAAAGACCCTTGAAAAAAGTTCCATTTTTTAGTCATCACCCGTTACCAGTCTACTGTTAATTTGAACCTCTGTTTTCCATTCTCAGACAGTTTAATTGTTCATTCTACGAAATGTAGCCAAGTTTAAAATTATATAACACTGTATAACACTGTATTCTTAATACGCGGCTACTATTTATTTATTTGATTAGTTCTGATGATTGTGTTACATAGCATTAGTTTAACTAAACTGTTGTCCAAGTACTAGGCCGACTACGATTTCTAACATTTTTAAGCAATTGGAATCATATTATATATATTATATATTACATTTGCAAATAAACGTACCCCCTGTATGTTCTCTATAGAGGATATGATGTTGTAGCGGAGGTGTTGCTATGGTAACTAGTAGTGTAACTATGGTAACTAGTAGTGTAACTATGGTAACTAGTAGTGTTATAAACGTACCCCCTGGATGTTCTCTATAGAGGATATGATGTTGTAGCTGAGATCCAGTGTTGAAAGTTGTATCAACAGTTGTAGACTTTCGTCCATAATTCTGGGAGGGAACATTATTGTATTATATCCATAGTAACAGTATCCCTAATCCTGGGAGGGAACATTATTATATTAGGGCAATAGTAACAGTATCCATAATCCTGGGAGGCAACATTATTGTATTATTACAATAGTAACAGTATCCATAGTAACAGTATCCATAGATACAGTATCCATAATTCTGGGAGGGAAACTTATTGTATTATTACAATAGTAACAGTATCCATAGTAACAGTATCCATAATTCTGGGAGGGAAACTTATTGTATTAGGGCTCGCGAATTAAAGTATAATAGTTAGTTTAAATAATTATCATCAGTTAATTGATAATATTGTAAATTAGTTAAGTCTATCTGGCTATCTTAGTATCATAATATGGCATACTAAAATGGACTACCTATCTGAATTACGTTTAAATGCTATGTGTATAATTTGACAGTGCATTGTTTTATGTAGAAAACTGTTCTGAGTCTAGTTGATCTTATTCTCGTGACGAGTTATAAGCTGCTTCATAAGTACATATTAATTAAAGAGGCAGCGGACCCTAATCTCCAGACATTAAATATGTTGCTTTTAATTGCTTCAGTACGAGGATAATATGAGGGGAGGTATTGTAAGAGCCAACAGCCCAATAGTGATCAACTGTGACACAGCACTACCTTCATATTTCCGCTTGAGTGATTTTATTGCTGTACATTCAAATATTATACTTTGTGCAATGTTGACGCTTATAAAATGGTTTAAAGTTTGAGGCCGTGCTTTTATGTCTATTTTCCATTAGTAATCTGAGATAGATTTTACAATGCTCTCACCCGCAAAAACAATTTCATCCACAATCATTTAGCTACGGGGGGACTTTTAATCAGTCAATTAATTAAATTGAAAGATTGAAATTAGATTTTTATCCGTATTTCTATCTGTAGTCTTTGCTGAACAAAATCGGTTCAAATCAGACTATAATAGTATCCTTTTAAGAAAGCATGATTTGCTATCCGTCTCAAACCATTGTGTATGTTCTTGTCAGTAATATTATATCCTTAACATACATTCATCCTTTGTAACCAAGAATGGGTTGATTGGCAGTCTAAAGCAATGCAGAATTGAAGAATAGTGTTTGAATTGGTGTTCTTTTAGTAGCAAAATTTCTTTATATAATTTTCTAGCGGTATGCAGACTATTAGTCGTGCTTTGAAAATAAAGCGTCCGTTTTGAGATAATAAAACGAACCTTTTTTATTTGTGACTGTAGTATAAATACTATATTATATTTAGACACTAGACAGTAGTATCTGGAGCAGTAGTATCAGGGCCTGCCGCCTGGCTAGCTCATTTGTCTGTAAACTGCATGCAGTGCGTGGTGTTGTACTTACTTACAGCAGGTGTGGGGCAGGGGGGGGGTTATTACAACATGTGGTCTAATTAGCGTTTACAACTTATTTATAACTTATTTAATAGCTAATACTAAGGTGACTTAAGTAACCTACCTCTCATCACTAGTATTAATAGTAGTTTTCAACCAACACTATTAGCGAACAGATCCTATCTAAACACGTGGAGTTGCGCACAGGAGCCTAGTGACTGGGCACGTGGAGTTGCGCACAGGAGCCCAGTGACTGGGCACATGTTAATTATGGCTACTTTACTGGGCACGTGTGGCTATCTTATCTCATTATTACAAGCAGGACGTTACTCTACTACAACAATTGTTTTTTTCTTATAGGTAGAATATTATAGAATATAGACTATTGTTTTTACTCAATTGGTTGCATCGTCGCTAATATAATATTAATATCTGTGGCGCCCCCCCCCCCTCCTTTATGATGGATTAATTACGGGTATAATGCCCCAGGATGTTGAGTACAAAGCAAGGTAATTACTTGTTTACATCTGCATTCTGTATTTTGAGATTAGAATTAGAATTATAGATAGCTGGATAATAAATTATCTCTATTCTCTAAATTAGACGAAATCGAGCTCAACATTGCCCTATTCTCTAACTTAGACAAATTATTGCTTATTAACATTGCACAGCGCTTACAGATCGTTGTCTTTATTGTTTAGCCCCTCGATTATTGTTTTAATGAAGACAGAGATTGTTGTTATTTTGCTCATCCATAAAATAGATAGATTATCATGTTCTGTTACTGCGCAATTTGATTTACTCGTCTTGATTCTTGCTTTAGCATATATAATATAGCTTTGCTTAAATCAGTTGATATAGAATGAAACATCCTTAATAACTGGGAGAAAAGAATAAATGTTCACGCCGTAATCCGTCTATCAATGTAATTCATTCAGTAGCAATAATCATACAGTTTCAATTAATTAGAACATCGTATTTTTCAGGATTCAATGGCTATCTTTTACGACGAAGAAGACGACAAAGTGTACCTAAAATATATAGACCTCACATTAGGGGTGCTCTGTGTGGTCCTCTTCCTCACCTCTACTCCTCTAAACCTAATGATAATAGGATTCTACCGCCACAAGAAGAACAGCAACTCTGCTGCACTGCACATTCTGCTAGGATGCTGCTATCTGATGGGTACAATACTCCTCCCTCTGGTTATGGCTTACAATTTCCTTACTGCTGGGGAACATGCGCCGGAACCATTGCATCTCTTAGCTTGTGGTCTCGCTGGTATTGGCATCAACAGTGGTGCCTGTGTCCTAACAGTTATCAGTGTCACACGGCTTTATAGCTTTAAATATCCACTGAGAAGATTTGGGACGAAAAGACTGATATTGTTTACCTCTTTTGCTATTGGAGTTGCTCTCACTATAGTTTTTATGATGTTTGCAGAAGCTAAGAAACCCGGGAGTTTTGATTTTAATATCGGACTTAAAAAACAGTTCCTCGGGCCAGTGATTGCGAATGACGAAGAAAAGAAAACGGTCAGGATATTAATAAGGGTGCTGTTTAATGTTAACTCCTTTATAAATATTCTAGTTTGTGGACTGACAGGTTATGTAATTTGTCCTAGACGTTCCAAAGTAACTCTTGAGGGAGCCAACAAGAGAGGGCAGCAGGGGAGTGTTGTCACTATCTTCTACATGAACCTGATCTACACGGTCACTCTGATCTACATGCTCGGCATTGTCATCATTGTGTTCACTGATACAGGAAATACAATAAGGACTCATGACAATTTCCATGTATTTTCATTCATTGCTTTTCCTTTTCTGTTCCTGTGTGTTTCAATCTTTAACCCTCTTGTGATGATATCACGTGGTAAACAGATGAGGGAGTATGCAATGGCAGTGCTAACTTGTAAACCACATCAACTGAGCACACAGGCATCTATGAGCCGACAGAACCCATCTGCTTTGGAATCACGCCAATGATTGACATTATATAATATATATATATACAGATAATTTATAGAAGAATGATTATGTAAAGGAACTCAATGCAAGTTGAGAGCTTAAACCAGACTTTCCAAAAACCAATCATTTTCTAAATATGACAATGATTCATCGGAATGACACTATTTTAACGTAACTTTCAGTTCTCAATCCTATTACATCTTATTTTTAAGAAAAAAAGGGTGTATTTGCGTCTGATAAGTTTACTTCAGAACTGTGTTACTATTTAATATCGTGCTTTCTAATAATAAGAATTTGGTACAAGTGAAGAACTAACTCGATGCTGTTGTAGGACAAGTTTAAGGTCTCCAAAGCATTCCAAGCAACTGGTTCTATGTCAGCCTCAGTCACCCATATCAAAATTTCTTGTATATCTGTAAAACGTTTTTACAATTTATGAAAATCATTTTATTTTAGAACTAGCTTGGTGTAAAAACACAAGGAATAGAAATGGTCTAATATCTGGAAAAAAGTGGAAACGTTTAATTCAAACCTTGTATTCCTGCTTTGATGGTGAGATGTCGAAGATTTTCACTCAGGTTTCCAAGTTCTGTCACTCCTTTAAAGTCAATATTCTGCAGATTGACGGTAATTTTAAGACAATCTGGGACTAAATACCTTAACTTCAACAGAAGTTTTGCCTCTTTTTAAGCAAACATACCCCTCTGAGTAACTAACATTAATGGGTTAGAAGGTGAAATAGCAACATTAATTATGATTGAAATGAGCAACTAACCTCTAGAGTGATGGAAGTGACGGATTGAAAGTGAGACATGTCAAGGTTGGGACTCGGCTTGTATTTGTGTGAGTCATCAAAACCGTTTCCTATTACCTGGAAAATATGGAATATGTGACAGCTAGATTGCACGCAATGCGTCATGTTACTGTTACTATGGTTACTGTTACTATGGTTATTGGTTACTGTTACTATGGTTACTGTTACTACGGTAACTGTTACTATGGTTACTGTTACCATGGTTACTGTTACTATGGTTACTATTATTTACCTTAACGTTTGCAACACTGTCTATAGCTCTTCTCAGTTCAAGAAAAGGTATTTGAAGGTCTTCAGGGGGTTCTGAACAAAGGTTAATGGAGTGTAGCTGTTTTTCTGTTAAAATCAGGTCTTCATCACAAGAGTTGAGCATGTCCCAAACCTCCACCTCTGTATTAAGAGCATGAACATTATGTATTAATAATGTATCAAATAGAACTGTTAATTGTGACTAAAAGTCTTAAACTGTACAAATCGTCTGTTTTTACAAATGGAATGTTCCTACTACCTAAATCAAATTTAATAGTCCTAAGCAAGTTCGACTGGTGTCTGCCAACTCTACCCTTTTTAGTACTCTTTTTATAATCTGTAATAAAGATCAAAATCCAAATTTGTATTCCTTAAAAAATTTGTGAAAATAAACTTATTAAAACTCCACCTGATTCATTGTTTCCCCTGTGATCTTTTAGGACATCAAGTGCCACTCTTAGAACATCCTGAAGTATTATCAACTGGTCAAATCTCGATACTTTTTAGATCCCATGCTATGGCTAAGGCACATCCCATGTGAATCTAAGTATTTGCACCTTTAAAGTAAAAAAGTTCATACCTTATTGTGGAACCTGGTTTGGAATAAACTAGAACTAGAACATGCCAATGATTTTCATCAAATCATAAACAACTTACATGCTGCTCAAGATTTAGGAATTCTTCTACAGTTGCTGAGGATGATATTGAATCCAGAAAAGCAACATATTTAGCCACAAATTCTTCATGTTTTGCAAGTTTGGCATCAGTTGGCCGTATACCCCAAAAAGGGAATGTTGCAGAGAAATCCCCACTAAACTCTTCAGGCAACTGAGGATTTTATAAAATTAACTAATTCCTCATTTTGATATGAAGGTGACAATATACTTCACATTGTAAATAACAGGAAATATTAGTCAAACAATGATACATATGATATGTATAATGAGGACAGAAAAATTTTAATTGGACAGTAACATTGTTTACTTTGTTACGCTTAAAATAAGGATTAGGTATACTTTACTTTTATACTTTAGGCTTATCAGCTTATTTAACTTTATGAAAAAAACTTACTACTTGGTTTAGTTTCAGAAAGTCTGACTTGAGTTTGGAGACAGTCCATGAACAATACTCATAATCAACTAGTAAATGGTATATCTGAAATTAATTGTATCAAAAGGCACGTATTTAGGACTAAAAAGATATATTTAAATCAAATGACCTAGCTATACCATCAAGTTGCAAATTTGATAATCAAAGGGGACATGCAACTGTAAAAAATTAGTTGGCGGTACATTTTTGCATGATTATTAGAGTGAAAGCTAAGATTAGACTTAATTAAATACCAGGTCAAAAGAAACCAAATCATAATCTTTTCTTTTGAGGTCAACTTTGATGAGCTTAACATGAAGTTGGTTTACCATATATGGACAGTCATAGCTGAGATTTTAATGTTAGTAGTAAAAACTGATAAATAGAAAATATAATTTGTTTTCCCTACATTGCCGAAGGCAAAAAGACTGTAGAGAATAAGTAATCGGGTTTGGATATATTAGGTACTATCCGTTTCCAAAGTATTTTGAGATAAATGGGGGGTAGGAAGCTCAATCTTCTCAATCTCAATTTTGGAAAAATCGTGTTTCAGAATTGAGAAAATTGAGAAAATTGAAAAATGGACATCTTTATCTCTCCAAGTAACTAAATCATACACGAGCTAAATGTATGATTAAAACATGTTTCAAACTTATTACTGTGAAATGATTAATTATCTTATATTTGAGTTTGATCCTTTTGAACAGCTGCTGAGCAATAAAACGCATGCATAATATTAAATAGTAGAAATGATTAGGTAAAATATGATCAAAGTAATCATCACGTGAACGACCCATGGTTTTGCTAAAGGGGACAGATATGATTGTTAGTAGGTAATGTATAAGGGGGAGATAACGTTTTTTTTGTTTTTTGTTTTTTTTCAAAAATTTACTTTAAGTTTAACCATAACAGAAAAAACAAAAAATTAATTTTGAGCTATTTCGAAGGAAATAGTAACTAGTAAAGGTTGAGACTAGCTAGAGGTCTGTGGTCACCGATGGAGATGGCATTTTTTGATATTAGGGTTTTACAGCCCGGAGCCAAATCCAACACTAATCAAGAGACCCCAGAAAAGTTGTACAATAAACATGAGAGAGAGAAAGAAAGGAAATATGGAGACCGCTGTGTAAAGATTGAAAAAGGAACCTGCAATGGTCTTGTATTCTCTACCAACGGAGGTATGAGCCCACAGGCTACCGTGTTCCTTAAAAGAGTAGCAACACTTCTGGCAGCCAAGACCAGCCGGGACAAAAGCCTTATCATGGCGAATCTAAGACGTCGTTTGAGGTTTGAGCTACTTAAAACAGTTTTGATAGCAGTGAGAGGACACAGAGGACGGTATTATGAGAAAGCAATACCTGTTGACGAACTCGACCTCAATCTTGCACACACCACCAATGATGAAGACTGGGGTGATGATGTTGATGAGGAAGATGAGGAAGATGATGAAGTTGAGAATGAGGTTGAGAATGTAGAGGGAGAGCTTTTAGAAGAGTGAGCTGAATAGAAGACAAGATTCTATTCCATTTTATTGATTATTATATTTATTGAAATAAAGATGTAATATCCATTACTCCAGGAGTGATGACAAGATATATAAAAAAAGTAAAGGTTGAGACAGCCCTGTTACACAAATATATCATTAATATAATTTTCAGAGAGATTTCAGGGCTCATGTTTGTTTTTGTCCGTTCGATTTTGTCTGTTTTTAGACTGAGGAGGAGGAGGAGGTGGAAGTGGAGGAGGACTGAGTAGGAAGAAGAGGAGGAGGACAATGAGGACTGTGGAGAAGGAGGACTGAGGAGAAGGAAGAAGGAGGAGGAGGACTGAGGAGAAGGGGGAGGAATGAGGAGGATGAGGACTGGGGAGGAGGAGGAGGAGGACTGAGGAGGACCGAGTATAAGTAGTAGGATGAGGATTGAGGAGGAGGAAGAGGAGGAAGAGGACAGAGGAAGAGTAGAACCGAGAATGTGCCGTACATACAATTACTGAGGAGGAAGAGGATGACTGAGGAAGAGGAGGACTGAGTGAGAGGTAAAGGAGGAGGAGAACTGGTGAGGAGGAGGATGAAGAGGAAGAGGAGGAGGATGAGTAGGAGGACCGAAGAGGAGGAGGAGGAGGACTGAGAAAGACTGAGGAGGAGAATGAGGATTGAGGACTGAGGAGGAGAAGGGGGAAGAGAAGGGAGAAAACTGAAGAAGAGTAGAACTGAGAATGTGTCGTACATACAAGGACTGAGGAGGAAGAGGATGACTGAAGAGGAGGAGGACTGAGGAAGAAGTGGAGAAGGAGGAGAACTGGGGAGGAGGAGGATAAAGAGGAAAAGAAGGACGGAATGGGACTGAGGAGGACGAACACTGAGGAGGATCACTAGGACTGAAAAGAAAGAGGACTGAGGAGGAAAAAGAGGAGGAGAAGGAGAATGACTGAGGAGAAGGAGGACTGAGGAGGAAGAGGATGAGGATGGGGAGGAAGGGGACTGAGAACGATGACTGAGGAGGAAGAGGACTGAGGTGGGGGACTGAGGAGGAGGACTTAGGAGGAGGAGGACTGAGGAAGAGGAAGGGGAGGAGGGGAAAGGAGGAGGAAGCATCTACATGTTATTTCCGTAACAGTTTTTGTCCGTTTATGATCATTTACGTCTGCTTCTGTCCGTTTTTGAGGAGGAGGAGGATGAGGGTGGGGATAAGGAGGACTGAGAATGTACTGTACAGTCTTGTGCAAGGACTGAGAAGGACTGAGGAGGAGGAGGATGCGTAGGAGGACTGGAGAGGAGGAGGTTGAGAAGGTCTGAGGAAAAAGAGGACTGAGGAGGAGGGGGAAGAGGTAGAGGAGGACTGAGGAGAAGGAGGACTGAGGAGAAGGAGGACTGATAAAGAGGAGGATGAGGAGGAGGACTGAGGAGGAGGAGGGGGAGGAGGGGAGAAGGAGGATCTAAATGTTATTATCGTAACAGTTTTTGTCCGTTTATGTCCGTTTATGTCGATTTACGTCCGTTTCTGTCCGTTTTTTGAGGAGGAAGAGGAGGATGAGGGTGGGGAGAAGGAGGACTGAGAATGTACTGTACATGCGAGGACTGAGGAGGAGGAGGAAAAGTAGGAGGACTGGAGAGGAGGAGGTTGAGAAGGTCTGAGGAAAAGAAGGACTGAGGAGGAGGGGGAAGAGGTTGAGGAGGACTGATAAAGAGGAGGATGAGGAGGAGGATGAGTAGGAGGACTGAGAAGGATGATAAGGAGGAGAAGAACTGAGGAGGAGGAGGAGGAGGAGGAGAAGGAGGGGGGGGAAGGAGGATTTAAATGTTATCATCGCAACAGTTTTTGTCCGTTTTTGATGAGGATGGGGAGAAGGAGGACTGAAGAGGAGGAGGTTGAGGAGGACTGTGAAGAGAAGGACTGAGAAGGATAAGGAGGAGGAGGTTGAGGAGGACTGTGGAGGATGAGGGGGAGGAGGATGAGGAGGACTGAGGAATCCTCATTCCTCAGTCCTCCTCATCCTCCTCCCTACTGAGGATGAGGAGGACTGAGGAGGAGGAGGACTGAGGAGGAGGACTAAAGAGGAGGAGGAGGAGGGGAAGGGGGAGAAGGAGGAGGGGGAGGAGGGGAGAAGGAGGAGGAGGAAGCATCTAAATGATATGTCCGTAAGGAGGAGGACTGGTTAAGATGAGGATGAGGAGGAGGATGAGTAGGAGGACTGAGAAGGATGATAAGGAGGAGAAGAACTGAGGAGGAGGAGGAGGAGGAGAAGGAGGAGGAGTAGGAGAAGGAGGAGGAGGAGGTGGAGGAGGAGGTGGAGGAGGAGGAGGAGGACTGAGGAGGAGGGGGAAGAGGTTGAGGAGGACTGAGGAGGAGGGGGAAGAGGTTGAGGAGGACTGAGGAGGAGGAGGGCTGATAAAGAGGAGGATGAGGAGGAGGATGAGTAGGAGGACTGAGAAGGACGATAAGGAGGAGGAGAAATGAGGAGGAGGAGGAGGAGGAGGAGGAGGAGGAGGAGGATGAGGAGGAGGAGGAGAAGGAGGAGGAGGAGGAGGAGGAGGAGGAGGGATGGAGGCTCTAAATGTTATTATCGTAACAGTTTTTGTCCGTTTTAGTCCGTTTTGATGAGGATGGGGAGAAGGAGGACTGAGAAGGTATTGTACATGTGATGACTGAGGAGGACTGAGGGGAGGAGGATGCGTAGGACTGAAGAGGAGGAGGTTGAAGAGGACTGTGAAGAGAAGGACTGAGGAGGATGGGGAGAAGGAGGAGAAGGAGGATGAGGAGGAAAATGAGAAGGAGGAAGAGGAAGGGGAGGAGGAGGAGGATGAGGAGGAAGATGAGAAGGAGGAGAAAGAGGAAGAGGAGGAGGAGGAGGATGAGAAGGAGGAGGAGGAGGAGGAGGAGGAAGAGGAGGTGGAAGAGGAGGAGGAGGAGGAGGAGGAAGAGGAGGAGGAGGAGGAGGAGGCGGAATGAGAAAGAGGAGGATGATGAGTAGGAAGACTGAGTAGGGTGAGAAGGACTCAAGAGGAATCAAGAGAAGGAGGAGGAGGAAGAGAAGGAGGAAGAGGAGGATGAGAAGGACATGGAGGGCAAGAGGACCAAGGAGAAGGAGGAGGAGGCGGACTGAGAAAGTGGAGTATGAGTAGGAAGACTGAGGAGGATAAGGAGGGGAGGAGAAGGAGGACTAAGGAGGAGGAGGAGGGGGACTGAGAAAGAGGAGGATGAGGGGGAGGATGAGTAGGAGGACTAAGGAGGGTAAGAAGGAGGAGGAGAAAGCATTTAAATGTTATTTCCGTGACAGTTTTTGTCCGTTTATCTCCGTTTTTGTCCGTTCTAATTTGTGTCTGTTTTGAAAATATAGGGTACCATATTTTCAAAACACTTTTACCATAACTTATATATAAATTGTCTCCTTCATCCCCATTTTGAGAGAGGTGAGAAACTGAAAGGTACAAATTGTAAGCACGCCTAACAATAACGTATATAATCGAATCAGGAATTGAAATCAAAACAAAAAGTTGAAATTTTCTTTTTGGATTGCATCTACCAGATCCATCTGGTCTTACAGTGTCTAAGTACTGAATTTTATTAAGTTTTTTATCATGGTTGCTACCAGAGTCAATTTTATCATCTATAATGTCCTAGTAACAGCGATACATACAGATTATTGTACTCCTGTATACGTAATTTTAACAGTAATCGGAACATTATGGACTGATCAGTGAACTGAGTTAAACGGAAAAATGATTTTAAAAGATTTTAAATTTTTTAAATTTTCTCAATTTTCTCAATTTTCTCAATCTCAATTTCGGAAAAATCATGTTTCAGAATTGAGATTGAGCTTCCTACCCCCCATAAATAGAGATGTTCTAGTTACTCTGCAATACCTTAGCTAAAGCTTTACTGTCCGGAAAGACCTACTATACCCACTATGATAGGTGTAGGTTAGGTGCACTGGTCTTGTTATTCAGACCATCTGTTGATAGATGGGTGCTGATGTGCACAATGACAAATTACTTGGTGTGCTGGTAGCATGAAGCATCCTGTTTAATATGTCCTGTACTGGTAGCTGGTAGCTTGAAGCATGCTGTTTGATATGTCCTGTACTGGTTGGCATAATACTTTAATGAGTTTTCGGTAAACACTGGAAGACCCTTGTACTTGGATATTAAAGGTCCGGTTTTTAAACCAGTATACGAGTTTAGTTAATTAGCACTGACTCACCTTTGGATTTCCGAGATCATGTTACTTTTTCAGGTTATATTTTTTTGATAAAATGTTTCAAACAGTATACACATAATGTCACAATGACCCTACATAAAAATAACCCTTCAAAAACTCACCCATGGCCTTGCGGCTCCAAGTTCAAATCTAAACTGTCTATATTGAGTCAATATAGACAGTATTCAACAGTCAATATTATTGACAAAGTTCTTTCTCGCCCCTTTCAGGTTATATTCATTATTCTATGAACTGTGTTAAGTAGCAATATAACAATACAAGTAGTGTACTCGAGTTTAGCCATTAACAAATATTTTATGAGTATCACCCGTTTAGTTAAGAATCTAGAGTTCATGTTATTTTTGTCAGACTGCTTATTATTTCTTGTCTAAGTTTTGTCTTTTAAAAATATTTCTTGGCTTGTCATTAATACTTTCAATTTGTTATAAACAAAAAAGGCCTGAGGTCCAAAAATACAAATTATAATGGCAGAGTACAGTTTAAATATATGTGGAATAAAAATTGACTTTTCACAAAAAGATTTTTGGAACCACTACGATAATTAATGTAATAGTAAGTCAATCAAGTTTTTTGCAATAAATTTGTTAACGGATGATACTCGTAAAATATTTTGTATTTTTTCCAAATATTAGACCGCGCCGTCAACAAGCGAGCGTGCTAAATCACTTTACAGTCGATCTTCGAGATTGTTCTAAAAGTAAAGGGCCCGCCCGACAGTTGAGACCAACTTCAATCGATGCATTTTCGGACGCTGATTCCGAATAGCCCCCCACATGTGCATGACATAAAATTAAAATTTAACGGATAATACTCGTAAAATATTCCTGGTAGGTTATAAACCTGGTAGGTTATAAACCTACAAATTGCTGCTAACTGCTACAAGTAGTCAGTGTAATAAGCGCCAAGCGCGAGCACATTGACCATTGTTAATGATCTGGCCCGGCGCGCGCTACTTCGTAGCTCGTGCCGTCGGGCACATTTCGAGAAGAAAGCGGCGCGCGCTACTTCGAAGAAATTTAGACGAGTAACATCCGTCAAGCGAGCACAAACTTTTTTTCTCCGATTTCGATAAATTTGGTACCAAAATTTGTCTAAAAATGTGAATAAAATAAATCCACCGTGTAGCAATTTTCGCTAAAAATGCTACACGGCGCTTGTTTGCCGCGCGTGCTTTTTTCGCGCAAATTTTTAGTTTTTGGCCTATAACTTTCACATTTTCAGTTATTATCACATAATTATTATGGCATCGTAATCAGCTCATCGAGACGAAACCTTTAGTAGTAATATTTTAAGATTTAAAGGAAAATTATTTTCAAAATTTTTCAATCTGAACACAAGGGTCCCCCCTTGTGTGAAATTTTGAACAAATTTTTGAAAAAAAAGTTGCGTCTGAGTAAGCTCATTACGATACTGTAATAATTATTTCAAAATATTCAAAATTTTAGGAGTTATAGGCATTTTAAGCAATAAATTACCCATTTTTCGTCCTTTGTACATTCTTGTAATGCACAGGAGGCCCACATATAGCTCGACGTTATTTTGCTACACGGTGAATTTGCATTATTCACACTTAGAGGCAACTTTTGGTACCAAATTTATCAAAATCAGAGACAAAAAATTCTGTGCCAACTCATGGCGCTTTTTACATGTACATAGACTAAAGTATATACTAACTGCTGCAAATGGCGCGCGTGCGACAGGCAGCAGCAGTTTCTTTGCACTATAGCCTTCCTGTGAAGTCGATCTCGATGGGTTGACATCGTCAATGGTCAATCAAGTTCAGATATTACTTTGTCGTTATCATTATTTTGAACATTTTAACCCCCCCCCCTTGACGGATGTTACTCGTCTAAATTTCTTCGAAGTAGCGCGCGCTGCTTTATTCTAGAAATGCCCGATGGCACTAGCTACGAAATAGCGCGCGCCGGGCCAGATCATTAACAATGGTCAACCCCCCCCCTCCGTCGCGTAATCAGTTTTATAAATAGCTATTGTGTCAAAATTACACTAGCGTAATCATTCGGAAACCCCCTCGGCTGATTACGTTATATCATGTAAACGACCCTTTGTATTGTTCACAATTGATTTGATTGACGGTGTCAATCCGTCGAGATCGTTGCTCTGCTTCGCAGAGCAACGATCGTCGACGATCGAAGCAAGAATGCTAGTTCGCGCGGCGCGTCGAAGCGGCGAAGTCCTCCAAACAATTGATTTGCTTTCGTGTTTCGGGAATTACAGGATTCAGGACACAATTGACTCGCACGCGACGACCAGATTATACGCTTGCGCGAAAATAAGTTTCCTTTCGTTAAAGTAATGACCTCGCGCCTTACAGAATCACCGAGGTCGAGTAAACAATATTTATAAAATCACTTTGAGATATAGTAGATTCCTTCTTCAAAGGGGTGCTTAGAAACAGATAAGCAGGAATGTATAGATAGGAAGCAGAACTATTTATATGAATTATCACATGTCCAATAAAATGAAAAACGCATTTCGAATATCAAAACAGGTATATAGTACTACAAAAATAGTGAAAAGAAAATTTGGACTTGTCACTTGCATAGCTGTATTGAGAATTTACAATCATCTATTAATATGAAGTTTTATTTTAAAAACAAAATAATATCTTTACACGCTTATTGAAGGGGTGTATAAATAACACCGCACCACCATCTCACAGGAATTCTACATTAATCATATATAATTCGGTAATCACATTCAATCATATCCCCTTAAGTTTGTGATTGACGATTTAAAAACAACATATGGAAACTTGTTCGGGTAAGAGTCTAGTAATAAGAGTATATTAAGACGATTAGTTGTTAGAATTAAATGCATATTTAATCAAGTAATTAAATTTTAAATTAAATCGAATTCGGATTTCGGTATTGATATAACCAAAATTAGCATTATAAATGAAACCATATCTGAAAAAGAGGAAAGAAGATGACTAAGTAGGAACACTTCTTTATTTTGTATAAAATTATTCGTCTGAATTAATCTTCACTAACAGTTTCGCTCATCTCAACTAACCAATAATCAGAAAGAAGATGGCAAATTAAATCATTCTTGAAATTCCAAAACTAAAAACAGCGCCGGAGTACAGAGAATTAACATGGACACACACATAATTCACATTCCTTCATACAGCTACTGGTAACCAGTAGTAACCAGTACTGGTAACCATTAGTAACCACTACTGGTAACCAGTAGTACTGGTCAGCTACTCGTAACCAGTAGAAACCACTAATGGTAACCAGTAGTAACCAGTACTGGTAACCAGTAGTAGCCAGTACTGGTCAGCTACTCGTAACCAGTAGTAACCAGTAGTACTGGTCAGCTACTCGTAACCAGTAGTAACCACTAATGGTAACCAGTAGTAACCAGTACTGGTAACCAGTAGTAACCAGTGCAGTACTGGTAACCAGTAGGAACCAGTAGTACTGGTCAGCTACTCGTAACCAATAGAAACCACTAATGGTAACCAGTAGTAACCAGTACTGGTAACCAGTAGTAACCAGTGCAGTACTGGTAACCAGTAGTAACCAGTGCAGTACTGGTAACCAGTAGTAACCAGTAAAACTGGTTACTACTCGTAACCAGTAGTAAACAGTACTGGTAACCAGTAGTAACCAGTACTGGTCGGCTACTGATCTGCGAAACTGTAGTCCAGGCGGGCACCACGCGCGATGGTGTAGCTAGGAACGAAGGACTGGTCACCGTATATGTTCTCCGCTGGAGCGGAGGGAGCTGCAGGTTCCAGAGCTGAGGATCCCAGGCAACATTCCTCGTAGGAGGGCGGAACATCTGAAATAAGGTGGTTGTTAGTGGTGGCTACTTATAACTTACTGCTACCACTGCTGTGGTAGCTAGTTGTTAGTGGTGGCTACTTATTACTTACTGCTACCACTACTGTGGTAGCTAGTTGTTAGTGGTGGCTACTTATTACTTACTGCTACCACTGCTCTGGTAGCTAGTTGTTAGTGGTGGCTACTTATTACTTACTGCTACCACTGCTGTGGTAGCTAGTTGTTAGTGGTGGCTACTTATTACTTACTGCTACCACTGCTCTGGTAGCTAGTTGTTAGTGGTGGCTACTTATTACTTACTGCTACCACTGCTGTGGTAGCTAGTTGTTAGTGGTGGCTACTAATTAATTACTGCTACCACTGCTTTGGTAGCTAGTTGTTGGAACTCAAAACTCGAACTTGTTCAGATTTTAAGGTAATGACGTAGTGGATGTAAATGTAAATTATAATTAATGTTCACAGTGACGGAATGTGTTGGGGTGGGCTCATAATAATATGATATTATTATATTTACACAGAACCTCTTAATTATTATCTCACATAGCATCACTGAATAATTATGTGTACGCATAACCGCTAAATTAAATCATCTCGTCGCACTGGGATTAGCTGATTACATCATGTACACAAGACTAGCAGCTGATAAGGTGATAAGGCTTTACACTGTAACTTGATACATTTTACACACAGTAACCAGTAATCAGGTTTTGTAACTTGATTTGTATCTGTATCTGATTATTCTGAGATCACCTCAATTTTATATCCATTCCCGGAATTTTCCATTCCAGAGTTAACTTATGACAAAGAATGCTGAAGATGACATCAGACACTCCTTATAAGGGCATCACGTGTTCTAAATATGAGGAGTACTGAGAAAATGTACTCTTAACCAATGTTGGTGCTCTCAATATGCCGTTGTCACGTGACAGTCCATTAGTAATCGTAAGATGCCAACTTGCTGTGGGGGAATCTATTTATAGCACACACAGTGGAAACACTTGCACATTGGCGGGTAATCTCAATTAAGTCACGACTGATTTAGGAAACATACCGGATTGTTGTCGTACACAAAGAAGAAATAAGAGAGAAATTTGCTTCTTAGCCGACCGGAAATCCGGTCCAGATGGAAATTACTGATCCGGACGGCTGCATCACCTTTTTAGTGCGGTTGACGGAAACAACATTAACAGTACAAAAACATTGATGACTATTTTAATTGGTTGAAAATAAAAGATACGCCAGATCACGGTAGGGTATACTGACTGTAATATAGTAGTAGTGTGTACTACTGACTACTGTAATATAGTAGTAGTGTGTACTACTGACTACTGACTATACTGTTCACCACTGCTAGATAAATAATGTATGAGATTTACAGACTGACATGGACAGTCAATGTGACTACCTTGAAAGAAGTAGTTATCAATTAATACACGCACAATTATAATACAGTTAGGAACTATATAGCTCACTGTATACACAGTATATATATATACAGGTACTATATACAGCGTTCCCTCTAGTCTTGTGCCAGAGTTAACATCTTTTGTTTTGAGTAACTGGGTATTGTGAAGATTGAGAGCCAACTATTCGGTGCTCAGTGCACAGTAAACATTACAGTAAACCATTTAATATGTAATGTAGGGTTAGATTAAACTTCATTACATGAAACTATTAACTTAGTTGTGATGGAGAACTGTGGCGTATCTTGTTCCTGTTGTTGGCAGGGAGCCAGTTCTTCAATTCTTGTTATTAACAACTCATATCATACACAAATCATTTGATCACCTATAATTGAAATTGAAATTGTCTCGTATAATGATTTTGATTACTGAGGTAGATAATTTATGAGAGAAAATCAATTTAAGTTGAGACGGGGTATGTACTACGTATGTATTACGTGTATAAGATAACATTATATTGCTGATACGTGTCTGATAACACTTGATTATTACTAAACCTCAGTGCTACACTACTACCACTACCATGACAGTGTTACACTAACATGATCACAGGTACACACTGACCACAACATAAAGTCTAGACTTCATTTACTAATTACTTTACTGTTTTACCACCAATGTGTTTTAACCCATATAATACCAACAACTCTAAACGTTCGAATTTTTTGATGAAATTTTGTTTCCTAAGCACTGAGGTACCAACTCCGACGGTGCAATAATTATTTTGAAAAAATTTATATTTTTTATAGCTTTTTCGACCCGTACTTTTAAAAGTTCATTGTTGGAGCTTGCTTTTTTGGAACATTGCATCGTACTTTTAAAAGTACATCATATTTGAATGATGTACTTTTAAAAGTACGGGTTTAATAAATAATGTACTTTTAAAAGTACGGGTTTAATGAATAGTGTACTTCTGGAAGTACGTTACTTAATTAAACAGAGGCTGAGACAATTCTAGAGGAGGCTGAGACAATTCTAGAGGAACAGAAGAGAGTAGCAGAAGCTGAGCGTATTTTAGAGGAACAGAAGAGAGTAGCAGAAGCTGAGCGTATTCTAGAGGAACAGAAGAGAGTAGCAGAAGCTGAGCGTATTCTAGAGGAACAGAAGAGAGTAGCAGAAGCTGAGAGAGTTCTAGAGGAACAGAAGAGAGTAGCAGAAGCTGAGCGTATTTTAGAGGAACAGAAGAGAGTAGCAGAAGCTGAGCGTATTCTAGAGGAACAGAAGAGAGTAGCAGAAGCTGAGCGTATTCTAGAGGAACAGAAGAGAGTAGCAGAAGCTGAGCGTATTTTAGAGGAACAGAAGAGAGTAGCAGAAGCTGAGCGTATTCTAGAGGAACAGAAGAGAGTAGCAGAAGCTGAGAGAGTTCTAGAGGAACAGAAGAGAGTAGCAGAAGCTGAGCGTATTTTAGAGGAACAGAAGAGAGTAGCAGAAGCTGAGCGTATTCTAGAGGAACAGAAGAGAGTAGCAGAAGCTGAGCGTATTCTAGAGGAACAGAAGAGAGTAGCAGAAGCTGAGCGTATTCTAGAGGAACAGAAGAGAGTAGCAGAAGCTGAGCGTATTCTAGAGGAACAGAAGAGAGTAGCAGAAGCTGAGCGTATTCTAGAGGAACAGAAGAGAGTAGCAGAAGCTGAGAGAGTTCTAGAGGAACAGAAGAGAGTAGCAGAAGCTGAGCGTATTCTAGAGGAACAGAAGAGAGTAGCAGAAGCTGAGAGAGTTCTAGAGGAACAGAAGAGAGTAGCAGAAGCTGAGAGAGTTCTAGAGGAGCAGAAGAGAGTAGCAGAAGCTGAGCGTATTCTAGAGGAACAGAAGAGAGTAGCAGAAGCTGAGAGAGTTCTAGAGGAACAGAAGAGAGTAGCAGAAGCTGAGCGTATTCTAGAGGAACAGAAGAGAGTAGCAGAAGCTGAGAGAGTTCTAGAGGAACAGAAGAGAGTAGCAGAAGCTGAGAGAGTTCTAGAGGAGCAGAAGAGAGTAGCAGAAGCTGAGCGTATTCTAGAGGAACAGAAGAGAGTAGCAGAAGCTGAGAGAGTTCTAGAGGAACAGAAGAGAGTAGCAGAAGCTGAGAGAGTTCTAGAGGAGCAGAAGAGAGTAGCAGAAGCTGAGCGTATTCTAGAGGAACAGAAGAGAGTAGCAGAAGCTGAGAGAGTTCTAGAGGAACAGAAGAGAGTAGCAGAAGCTGAGCGTATTCTAGAGGAACAGAAGAGAGTAGCAGAAGCTGAGCGTATTCTAGAGGAACAGAAGAGAGTAGCAGAAGCTGAGAGAGTTCTAGAGGAACAGAAGAGAGTAGCAGAAGCTGAGCGTATTCTAGAGGAACAGAAGAGAGTAGCAGAAGCTGAGAAAGTTCTAGAGGAACAGAAGAGAGTAGCAGAAGCTGAGAGAGTTCTAGAGGAGCAGAAGAGAGTAGCAGAAGCTGAGCGTATTCTAGAGGAACAGAAGAGAGTAGCAGAAGCTGAGAGAGTTCTAGAGGAACAGAAGAGAGTAGCAGAAGCTGAGCGTATTCTAGAGGAACAGAAGAGAGTAGCAGAAGCTGAGAGAGTTCTAGAGGAACAGAAGAGAGTAGCAGAAGCTGAGAGAGTTCTAGAGGAGCAGAAGAGAGTAGCAGAAGCTGAGCGTATTCTAGAGGAACAGAAGAGAGTAGCAGAAGCTGAGAGAGTTCTAGAGGAACAGAAGAGAGTAGCAGAAGCTGAGAGAGTTCTAGAGGAGCAGAAGAGAGTAGCAGAAGCTGAGCGTATTCTAGAGGAACAGAAGAGAGTAGCAGAAGCTGAGAGAGTTCTAGAGGAACAGAAGAGAGTAGCAGAAGCTGAGCGTATTCTAGAGGAACAGAAGAGAGTAGCAGAAGCTGAGCGTATTCTAGAGGAACAGAAGAGAGTAGCAGAAGCTGAGAGAGTTCTAGAGGAACAGAAGAGAGTAGCAGAAGCTGAGAGAGTTCTAGAGGAGCAGAAGAGAGTAGCAGAAGCTGAGCGTATTCTAGAGGAACAGAAGAGAGTAGCAGAAGCTGAGAGAGTTCTAGAGGAACAGAAGAGAGTAGCAGAAGCTGCAAGAGAGTTCTAGAGGAACAGAAGAGAGTAGCAGAAGCTGAGAGAGTTCTAGAGGAACAGAAGAGTGTAGCAGAAGCTGAGAGAGTTCTAGACTCTAGAGGAACAGAAGAGAGTAGCATAAGCTGAGAGAGTTCTAGAGGAGCAGAAGAGAGTAGCAGAAGCTGAGCGTATTCTAGAGGAACAGAAGAGAGTAGCAGAGGTGGAGAGAATTCTACAGGAACAGACGAGAGTAGCAGAAGCTGAGAGAGTTCTAGAGGAGCAGAAGAGAGTAGCAGAAGCTGAGCGTATTCTAGAGGAACAGAAGAGAGTAGCAGAGGTGGAGAGAATTCTAGAGAAACAGACGAGAGTAGCAGAAGCTGAGAGAGTTCTAGAGGAACAGAAGAGAGTAGCAGAAGCTGAGAGAGTTCTAGAGGAACAGAAGAGAGTAGCAGAAGCTGAGCGTATTCTAGAGGAACAGAAGAGAGTAGCAGAGGTGGAGAGAATTCTAGAGGAACAGACGA